CGACATAGCCATTACGACAACTGCTGGTCCCCATCACCATTATTTTTATAATTTGCTATAGGGCACATGCGCTGACCAGAGAGAGAGAAGAAAAGTGAGAAAGCAAGCCACCAGGTCCAAGACTTGAACCGTTATCAGCCTTGTGGGAGTCCAGCACCTGAACCACCACACCACCTGCTGGCCCCATGCAGGCCTTTAATCCTTGAAAGCCTACCCATGGACCTGGGAGCAGGTCAGCCTCGCCTGACCCGTTCGTGTGGTCTGTGACTGCTTTAGAGCTACAGTGGCAGAGTTGAATCATTGTGACAGACCTCAAGGCCTGCTGGTGAAGTAGAAAATGTATGTTGGTCCTCTGCAGACGTTTTTGGAAAGGTTTTTGCTATAGGGTGTGTATGCTCACCAGAAAGACAGAGACAGACAGAAAACGAGAAATCACCCCCCAGGGGGAATGGCCACATCGCAGTCCCTTCTCCATTCGTTCTCCTCTTGGGATTCCTGGGCACAAGCACACATGCACCTGGCATGAGTTTAAGCCACTGGGTCTGGGACTTGAACTGCAAGTGACTACATGGGAGTCCAGTGACATAACCATTATGCCAACTGCTGGAACCCTCTAAAGATTTTTTTTTACCTTTTTTTTTTTTTAAGAGGTTTTTGCTATAGGGTACTTGACAGACAGAGACAGAGCGACAGAAAGCGAGAAATCACCCCCCCAGGGGTGATGGCCACACTGCAATCCCTTCTCCTCTCGGGATCTTGGGCATGCACGCACATGCGCCCAGTGTGAGTTTTAAGCCACTGGGTCCGGGACGCGAACCACAGTTGACTATGTGGGAGTCCAGCAACATAGCCTTTATGCTAACTGCTGGTCCCTAAAGATTTTTTTTTTTGTCCATCTCCTCACTCATCACAGCAGACATTGTTGCTTGCCTGTCTGAGATATGAGGGGACTTTAGAAAGTTACTGGAAAAATGGAATTAAACAAATTTATTGTAGTGTAAAAACAAAAAACAAAAGTGAATAGCTTACATAATATGCTTTTTTTATGAGCTTTTTGAAGGCCTCACATACATTCACATTTTGCACTTTGTTAATGGAATATCGTTTTCTAAAGTATCCATACCTCTAACAAGGTGACCCGAATCCCAGTTTACTTTTTTTTTTTTTTGGAGAGGTTTTCGCTATAGGGCGCTCGCCAGAAAGAGAGACAGAGACAGAAAGCAAAAAGTCACCCCCCCAGGGGGAATGGCCACACCACAATTCCTTCTCCTCCATTCTCTTCTCGGATCATGGTCACACACCCACACATGCCCAGCGTGAGTTTAAGCTGCCGGGTCCAGGACTCGAACTGCTGTCGACTACGTGGGAGTCCAGCAATGTAACCATTATGCCATCTCTTGGTCCCCCAGTTTACTTTTAAGTCCTAGTTGGTCTTAGGTGATTCCAGTGCCCATGGCTAGCGACCGTCTTCTTGTGGAAATTAGTTTAGGCACTTGGTATAGTTCTAGCCAGAGGATCTGCCTGGGAGTTTCTGAGGGAGTATCTTTGCTTTTAGACAGTTCCATGTATCTGAAAATAACCTAAATCTAAATTCTTATCTCAATGCATTGGCTCAATACACTAACACAATGTAGGAAAGAAGGATGGTAGTGGAGATTTTTGTTTCTTACCCATCATATTTACCTGCTATATTGTCTGCTGTATTTCCAGAAGTTTGGATCATAAAATGAATTTATCCAAGATTTCAAATTGAATGACATAAAAATATTCACAGCGTTTCAAAACTTGGAAGAAACTCTATTTTATCTGAGTCATAACACCCATAATCTCTTATATTCTTTATTCATATTACTTCTCTTTCTGTTTTTAAAAGTTTTAAAAATAATTATTTATTTAATTTTATTTATTATTATTTGAAATTTGTTATAGGGCATGTGCATTTACCAGAGGGAGAGAGAGAGAGAAAGCAAGCTGCCAGGTCCTGGACTGGACCCACAGTCAACCATGTGGGGGTCCTTAGCCACCATGCCACCTGCTGGCCTCTCTTTCTCTTTTGATTGTTCTACAAATTTGTATATTTTATGGATCTTTTCAAAGAACAAGTTTTTGATATTTTTGAGCTCTTTCTTTGTTCATTTTTCTAAATATATGCTTTCAAAAAATGTATAATACAACTATTGTAAAAGCAATTATTCATATAAGCAGTCATTGACTAGGTCAAGAAAGAACATTTCTAGCATCCCAGGCAATAATTGTTTGTTTTCTATAGAAACCACTTCTACACTTTTCTTTCTTTTTTTTTTTTTTTTTTTTTAGAGATTTTTGCTGTAATTCATGTTTGCTCACTGGAGAGACAAGAGAGAGACAGACAGAAAGCAATGAATCACCCCCTCAGGGGGATGGCCATGCCACAATCCCTTCTCCATTCTCCTCTTGAGATTTTGGGCACACACATGGGTACACACATGTGCACACACACATGCCTTCTGTGAGTTTCAAGCCTGGAGCTGTGGTCAGTCATGTCGGAGTCAAGCAACGTAACTGTTACACCATCTGTTGGTCCCATTTTTATTCTTAAGCTTTATTGGCCAGAGGTATAAAGTCTGGGGAACCCAATAAAGAGATGTTTAATGGTCAACAGGTAGCTTAGTGGTTAAGGTGCCAGACTCCCACATGGCCAACCATGGTTTAAGTCCTGGATCTGGCAACTTGCTTTCTCTTTCTCTCTCTCTCTTTCTCTCTCTCCCCCTCGTCTGCCTGCTGAGTATATGTGCCCTATCACAAATCAAATAATAAATAATAAATTTCCAAATTCTTTGGAAAAATAAAATAAGAGCTATAACAACATTGACAGCGTTTTGTTTAGATGAGTGCCTAAGAGCGAAGATAATATCTAAGTCCAGCCTCAGTGGTGCAGGCAGTAGCATATTGAAATACGGTGCTGTAAGCCACATGGCTGATAGTGGATTCAGATCTCCAAGTCAGCTTGAAACAAGCCAGGGTTATGTGCAAATGTGCTAGATCCTGGTGAGCTGGTGAGCTGGGGGATGGGGATCATGGTGTGACCTGACCCTGTTTGAGGGTGTCTGTCTCACTCTCTTTTTCACATGTGTACATATTTGCTCTTTATCATGAATAATTAAATTTTTCAAAATTATTCTAAAAACAAAAACTGACTTTTAAAAATGAACTGTTTGGGACCAGGTGGTTGTATAGTAGGAACACAGTTGGACACACATGGAAAATGTCCCAATTTTGCATCCTAGGACCTTCCTATGCATGTCAGGCATCAAGCTGGATGAGGCTGGAGTGGAATGGATTGTCAAGACACTGTTTCAGATGCCTGTCTCCCTTGTTCTGGAAATAAATTAAATGAACTTTTTTTAAAATAATTTTTTTAAAAATTGGGGCTGGCAGGTGACATAGTAGTTGAGGGTGTTGGACTCCCGCATGGCTGACCGTGGTTCAGGTCCTGGACCTGGTGGCTTACGTTCCC